TTATCACTGGCTAAAAGAGTGTACCAGGAAAAGGCTACAGTATGGAGACCCTGTAAATAAAAATAAATTTGCAAATTTACACATTGTGAGCTGCTGCAAACAGAGAGCATCTCTGCAGCTTGGAAATAGTTTTCTCTGCAATCTGTATGAAGTTAGATTGGCACTGTCGTGCTATTTGGAGGTCTTGGAACTGCTGTTTGATCTTTTTTTCCTTCAGATGTTCATAATATTAAATCTGAATTTAATTCACAAAAGCCTAAACTGCTATGAAGAGTGTGTGTCTGGTTCTACACAAGTAGCCACCACTAAGTTTTTCCCAGTTACTGTCATCAGCCAAGCAGCTGGCTGCTACCTGTTGGCCTTGGAAAAAGTGTGTTTTCTCCATTATTGCTGGTGTTAAATATCCAAAGGCTTTGAAAGAGGCAGCAAGTGGTCTCTGGGTGCCAGACTCTGCAACTTGGAGAGATACTTTGCAATAACTTACACATTTTAACTCTGCTACCATAACTCCTGAGGTATCAGTCACCATGACACGCGAGTGTGAAATCGTCGTCTTCTGTCGTCATGTGTCATAAAATTGTGAATAAAAATAACATCGTGCACTGTGAAAGTCATCACAATCAAGCTGCTTGACACCTTGGTTAGGAGGAGTGTGCTGAGATAACGTGTCATCTGACTCGCGTTATTTTTGAGTCAGAGGTGTAAGATGTCCTCGCATGACATCCTAATGAAACGCTGTTTCCTGAGAGCTTTGGAAACTGCCCTGAGCATGTTTTGGTTTTTTCAGCTTTGTCGTCAATTAACAATTAGTTGATATTTTGTTCACTGGCAGAGTTTTGTGTGAGGAAGTTCTTCTTTGTTCACTTTGGACTCAGCCAGCTGTGTTCTGAAACAGGTAGAGGAGGTTAAGGCTTATAATCTGGGTTTCATCAGAGGCATTTCCTTATTGCTTGCTTTTTCCTCTTAAAGCCAAATAGAGGCAAAGAAAATATTTTTTGAAAAATATTATTGTTAAAACTCATGGATAGCTTTGTAGTTCAGGATTTTGTAACACATTTTAGCCTTCCAAAAGCCATGGAAATGGACTGGCAAGAACCTTACAACTAAATTAAATTCTTGACAAAGCATTAAGCAGTTATGATAGTGGTTATCAAGGAAGCAGGAAGAGTCAGAAATGATATTTCGTTTGTAAATTTAGAGTAAACTTAGACTTTGTGTCTTTTGATCAGCTGCTGAATCAGGAAAATGTATGTAGGTGTGTGGGTACCACTGATCTGTTGGAAGTGAGTTTGTTCTTGCTATAATAAAGTTCATTTTTTTCTGTGGTGTTACGAGGTTTTTAATAACGTTGACTTGCAAACTCTCTGCCACATCTTGGGGTGTTTAACATTGGATACCGCTTAAAAGAAGTCTTGGGATCCTTGTGTTTTAATCATTCGTGTCTCAATTCCAGCTCCAGTCCCCGTACATTCCCCTCAGAGAAGCACTAGAAATCACGCCTTGCTGGAGGCTGCAGGACCAAGCCATGTGGCGATCAACGCCATCTCTGCCAACATGGACTCTTTCTCGAGCAGTCGGACAGCTGCCCTTAAGAAGCAGCCAAGTCACATGGAAGCTGCTCATTTTGGAGACTTAGGTGAGGCTTTGTCAGCTCTGTAATAACGTCACCGTTTCTTTTCCTTCTGTGTGTATCCCTGGTACGCTCCCCATCCTTGGCTTTTCAGGCAAGTAGTTTAGACGATTAAAAAATCTGGCTGACATTGCAACAGCATCTGTGTCGCCCTAAAGAGTTTTGAACGGGGACAGCGCGTTTCTTTGTGAAAAGAGGTTCCTTGACTACGTGTGCCGCCGTTATTCTGGAGTCGTCTCTTCACCAGCTGCGTTACAGGACATTTTTGTATCGAATACCTGTGCCTGTAGCACAATATGGAGTCACTCTCTTTCTGTTTTTCTTTAGGCAGATCGTGTCTGAATTACCAGGCTCAAGAGACCAAATCAAGCCTTTCAAAGACCCTTGAACAAGTCCTGCAGGACAATGTAGCCCTCCCTTATTTTATCCAGTTTATGGAACTACGCAGAATGGAACACTTGGTTAAGTTTTGGTTAGAGGCTGAAAGCTTCCACTCCACAACTTGGTCCCGTATAAGAGCACACAGCCTCAACACAGTTAAGCAGAGCTCATTGGCAGAGCCCGTGTCACCCTCGAAACAGCAGGAAACTGCGTCTTCGCCACCTGGGTTGCTTGAGGAGAGACTGGAGGATTCTAGTGCAGTTCGTCTGCTCAGGACCAGGCCAGCGGCTTCGGACAAGAGCGACAGAACCAGCAACAGCCAGAACCACGTGCTCTCGGGTCAGGAGGGCGATAATGTCGATGTTCTTTGTCTAAGAAAATCTGAGATGGGGACCTATTCTGTTTCAGCTGATCAGCAAGAATCTTCCAGGCTTACAGTATCAAATAGAAACAGCCCCTCCTCTGCACTAAAAGACTTGTCAGGAAAACTCATGAAAAGTAAGTGCCGTGTGTTGCCTTTCTTTAAAGAGGTGGGGAGATGGGGAACACACCAGCTGCCGCTCGCTCCGTGCAGCGAGCTGCCGTGGTGCTCACGAGTTCTCAGTCAGTGTGAGGTGATGGTGTGAGGAAGAAAATAACGCTCTCTGTTGGTCGGGTTAACTTGCTGTGTGAGCAGTGATCAGTTTGAGCTATGTGTTGTTTGATGTCTGGTTGTCTGAAAATAAATGTGCTGCTGAAGAGACTTCACAATCATCGTGTACTCTAATAAGCTCAGGGTACTTCTGTTCTTCCGTGTGTAATTGTAAATGAACATTGCTGTCCTGTTCCTCCCTCACCCGTGCCATCCTCACTTAAAAGAATTGCAGAAAATTTGGATGATGGGCCTGAGAATTGACAAATAACTTTTTATGGAAGCTAAAATTCCTATATCACATAAAATGACATAAGTAATGGTTACAAGAGACTTCAAGAGATTTTTCCTGTGTGGAGCATACTGTTTCTCTTCCTGGATTTGACAGAGTTTCTCTCCTTGTAAATGATTTATTCTTACTTTGATTCCACCTCTTCAGAGGCTACTGGAAGTAAGGATGAAATGAAGATATTTACTTGTAGTAGTAAGCTACATGCACAATAACCTGTTTCTTTACTTTGCATCTACTTGATCCTCCCTTGTTTGTGCAAGTTTACAGCCAAAACGGAAACGTGCCTTTCTTCACATTGGTTCCTTTTGTTTGCCCAACTGTTTCCTTGGGTTGCATCCCTTTCTCTTGCTGTTTGTCTTCCTCATGTAACTATTTGTCATGTAGCTCCACAATACATAACCTTAGCCCCAAGGTAGCATAAACATGGTGATGCTTTAGTCATGAAGAGCACCTCTGCTTTCTGATGTCTGAAAAGAATTTGAAAGTGTTAGGTCCTTCTTGAGAAATTTGAAAAGTCTGGAGTATCATTTTTTTTTCTCCCTTCCAGAGCGGTGTCCCAAGTCTCAAAAGGTGACACATAATGCATACGTCTTGTTCTGAGGCATCCCATTTTATTTTTTTTCCCTTTAATCCCTTTATAATGCAAGTGTTTTTATATTCTTTACGATGAGAGTTAGAAATTGGGAACTTCCCTGCAGCTCTTCCCAGAGAGGCATTGCTTCTGGGAGTAAGGCGTGCAGCTGAGGAGGAGGAGGGTGCCGTCTCGTGTGCTGGTAGGGAACTGAGCTACGTTTATTCCGTCTGGCTCGTCGGTCCGTGCTGTGACCTGGCTAAAGGTTACACAGTCGCTGTGGCTTGGCGGTGGGAAAGTATCGAGTAGTGGACTGAAAGCTTCCTGGGAAGGAAGCCGGTCACTGATAATGTCACTTGCTTTTCCAAAGAGCAGATGTTTGTTATTAACTCGTTTTAGCCTCCTGCCAAGGAATTCAAAGGTTGATTCTGTATTTCTTCCTTGTAGGTATAGAACGGGATGCAGTTAGTACTTTTACCAAATATATTTCTCCAGATGCTGCTAAACCAATACCTATTACAGAAGCGATGAGAAATGACATAGTTGGTAAGAACGTGTACTGCCTACTCCTTTCAGAGCTTCCTGTAAAAACACATCCTTAATGCCACGCACATGCTTCCTTTTTATGAATTGCAATCAGTTGTAGAAAGATAGTAGATCACATTACAAGATCAGTGGATCTGACCTTTCAGCAATGCTGTGCAATATCCCCAAAGAACTCTCAGAGACTTTGCTTAAATTAGTGGAAGAATTCCTGGTGGTTATGGAGGGAATCCAGATTTGAGTCTTAATCAAGTATTTTAGCTGTATTATTATTTTAGCTGTAATATTCAGCTATCTGCAATGCTTTAAAAGCTCTTGTGCAGTCAGAACCAGCTGATTCTAGTGGATTTGATCTGCAGTTTTTTATTAACTTGTCGCCACTCATGACTTTCAGCTCAGTCGGCCAAGTGCATGTTCAAATTAACATGGTCTTTCTTTGCAGCAAAGATTTGTGGGGAAGATGGACAAGTGGATCCGAACTGTTTCGTTCTGGCACAGTCAGTGGTGTTCAATGCAATGGAACAAGAGTAAGTTGCTTGAGTGGTTTAGCTTCTTGTGTCTGTTGTCCTTTTGCAGAAAGTGGTTCTATTTAAAAAAAGTTCATGGAGGCATAAGCCTGTAATCGCGTTTTTGTGCAGTTTTCTGTATTTGAAACTGCTCAGGTCTCTTCCTCCAAATCCAGTCTTGTGATGACTTGCTGAAGTTGCGTGTGTGCGTGCTCTTACGGCATCCTTTACACCTTGCCTGTGTCCTTTGTAAACCTGCACCATTTCTTGCTTGTTTTGCTTTTATTCAAGTGAAAGGCTTCTGGGGCAAGAACTAATAGGTTCTCAAGGAGCCTGAATTGCTGTCTGTCCTTAATGACTAATTGCTGTTCTATCTGTGTGCAGGCACTTTAGTGAATTTTTGCGAAGTCATCATTTCTGTAAATATCAGATTGAGGTGCTGACTAGCGGGACTGTTTATCTGGCTGACATTCTGTTCTGTGAATCAGCCCTGTTCTATTTCTCAGAGGTGAGTGTTAGGATTGGGGTGTGCTCTTTTTTATTCCTTTCTAACATGAAAAAAAAAATTTCATCCCCTGATGGCTCTAATAAAGACACTTCAAATGTAGTAAAAAGATGAGGCGTATCTTTTCCTGGGAGAAAATGCCTTAAATGGTTTCCTGCCCATGTAGAACTATTTCAAAGGCTCAGGTTTGTACCCTGTGTTGTAGAGTGAGTATTCCTGCGTATCTTCTCAAGTTAGTGAGATTTTATTTTTTTTTTTTTTACGCAAACTAAATCTGTCTGCAGCACTGTATCTGTAAGTGCAGAATATTTATATGCCCTGGTGACAATTTTGCATCATTAATTTATGAACTATGTTTCTTGTTTTAAATGGGAAGGAACAGGTTTGTCTATGTTTATTGAAAGTTTCTTGCTAAAACTTCTTTAATTTCTCTTTTTTTTTATTTCCCTTCCAGTACATGGAGAAGGAAGATGCAGTTAACGTATTGCAGTTCTGGTTGGCAGCAGATAACTTCCAGTCTCAACTTGCTGCCAAAAAAGGCCAGTATGATGGGCAAGAAGCACAGAATGATGCCATGATTTTATATGACAAGTGAGGGAGTTCCAACAATTATTTGTTTCTGTAACTTTGTGCTTGTAGTTTTGTGTTGCACTGTGCAGAAGGAACTTTTCCTTTTCAAACCGTAGCTACACAGTCTTGCAGTGTTATGCTGAAACGCAATTTATTAAGGTGGCCTTTGATGTGTACACACAGAGGAATTTTTATTAAAAAAAATCTTTTTTTTCATTAAAAGAAAATTTTTATAAGAACTCCATTCTTAAACACAATTCAGAATTTTTAGGGCTTGTTTGCTTGAGTTAGTGTTTGGTTGTGAAATGTCAAAGCCAGTTGGTTGCTGTTTGAAAATGTGATGATTTGAACTGAATAGCAGGTGCATCGCTGTAGAAGAACCTTAAGGTTCGGATACTGTTGCCCAGTTAAGGTCAGCTGTAGGAACTGTTGTTGTGGATCACACAAATAGTGTTTCTTCTTAGTGTTTCATAATATTTTCCTTTTTTTAAGGAAATTACCAAATCCCTTTCAATATTAGACTTTCACTCTCGTTAGTGTTACTCTTTCCTTTATTTTTTACTTCACATTAGCAGCTGGAAGACAGGATCAAAACTGCTTCCAGAAAAAAATTGTTCTTAAACCTAAGTGTGAGACTTATTGCCACAAGCTTGTTGAGCTGTTAGCCTAGTAGGAAGTAATAGTTGGAGAGGAAGGAAACAATTCACTCTTAGTCGTCCCTCGTCCCACTCCATCCACAGGCTTCGGTTTTTGGCGATGTGATTAGTCGAGCAAATGCTGCTTCAGTGTTCTGGGTGTCTCTGGCTTCATTCATGCTTCCCAGCTCCAACGCCGCGGGCGCAGTCACTTGCGCGATGCTCTGTTTCCTATCGCTGTGTCTTCAGGGCAAGGCTTTATTGAAAATGTTTCTGTGAAACTGGGGGTTTTCTTCCCCAGGAGCCTGCGCGGAGCGGTTGTGGGTGGGGATTTGAAGCCAGCACCATCTAGTGGCTGCAGCACTATCGATGATCTTCACTGGAGAGGGTGGGCACGACCACCTGCAAAGCTTTGCAAATCCTTTCCTGTTGTCTTCTTCCCGTGTCTGGTGCTGCAGGTACTTCTCCCTTCAAGCCACGCACCCGCTTGGGTTTGATGACTCGGTGAGGTTAGAGATAGAATCCAACATCTGCAGGGAAGGGGGTCCTCTCCCGAACTGTTTCACTACTCCCTTGCGGCAGGCGTGGACTACCATGGAGACGGTGAGATCCCTTCTTCGGAACGGCTGTGACAGTTGTGACAATTAGTGAAGATGTGGAGGTTCTGCAGCGCGTCACGTGTCCCCTTCAGCACCTCTGAGTTGTCCTGTTCTTTTGCTGACTTCCTGTTTACCTGCTGTAGTAAAACCTGCTAGACTATTTTCCCCATCCTGATTTGAAAAGATACCACCTGCTGACATGTGCTAATTCTCTGTGAAATGTTTGTCTTGGGTGATTATGGCATTTTAATGGAATTAACAGAATTTCCTTCCGTGTGGATTGCTAACAGCAGCTTATTGTATATCTTTAGAAGAATTTCCTTCCTGTTTGTAGCAGTTGCTTGCAAGTCTCTTACTGGTGGTGTGGCTAATAGTGTAACCTGGGGATGTCTGGATGCTGGAGCTTAATGAATTGATTCTGGAGCTGCGGGTAATTTTTGAACAGCGTAGCACAATGAGTGTAAGCCTGTTGGGTTGTTAGACTTTTCTAGAGGGGACAGAAAAAAAAACACTTCAGTTCCAGTTTCAAACTTAAAGTACCACAATCACTAATGCAGAATATTTCCAGATGTTGACTCTTATTTCTGTCCCACTTTCACAAGGACTGTGTCCCTTCTGTTCTGCAAACAATTTACATTAGTTGTGTAGAGCAGCCTTGGTTAAAGACGATTCCTTCCTCTGTCTCTCAGGTTTTTTTACCTGGTTTCTTGTCCAGCAACCTGTACTACAAATACTTGAATGATCTCATCCATTCAGTACGAGGAGATGAATTTCCAGGAGGAAATATTGCACTGAGTATTCACGGCCCCGGCAGCTCTCCCGACAGCGACTCCATAGGGGGCCCGGATGGCTCTGCCTCCCAGGTACGAGGTTCGGGGTTTGGTTCTGTTATAGGAAATGCTGCAAACTCTTTTCTGTATCAGTATCAAAGTTCATACCCTGTAAGGAAACATCCTGTAACCTGAAGCCTTCCTGCTCCACTTGAACATTAAAGCCTGTGGTGTTAGGGCACGTTTAGTCTACCTGCTGCTAAGTTCAAACAAACAGCAGTGGCACGGAAGAGTATCTGTTGTATTTGTTGTACCCAAAGCCTTGTACTGCTTTTGGTTCTTTGCATCACTTATGTTTTTATTAAGCTGTTAATATTTGCTGAAAACTGTTTCATAGAGCCATAACACTTAATAATGTTTCTTATTAGAAATAATGGATTTTTTTAATTGATACAGTAGTTATAACTGTAGGCAAAAAATTGTGAATATGCTATAGAATTGAAATATAAATATGCAAGTTTTGTGTGTTCAGTTCTATTAACGTGCTAGATCTTCTGTCCTGAAGAGTCAGTTCTAGGGTTTAAGACATCGATGTACTCAAACCCAGAACAAAGACAGTTAACATCTGACCGGTCATGTTCAGCCTTTTCCCTGGTATCATCCTCCACAACCACCTGGTTGTGCTGCTCTGACAGAAAGGTCGTGAATCTGGCCATTTTCTGAAAGAGAGTTCTGACACTTTACTGTGTTATCACTGAGATGCTCTGAGCTGCAGGGGGATGACACCTGAATTTTGTTCACATTTATCTCGTTTGAGGTAACGCTGGGCATACAAAAAGTCTGTTGCCTGGCGGGGCATTCAGATAGTTTGTTAGGGTGATCAGAGCGGTGTGGCTGCACCTTTGCTGCACCGCGTAGAAACGAGAACGTGACTGGGCGCTCCTTTGGCCCCATTACCCTTCCCGAGTCCTTGGGAAGTGGCCCCTGTGTATTTGCTTTGCACGGTGCCAGCGTCTTTCTTTTTTTATTGCCTTGCACGGTGCTGTTTTCGGAGAGTCGCGTTCCGCTGTGGCGTAGCCCCAGAAACGGGTAGTGGGGCTCATGACACACTGAAACCATCCCAGTAATGTCAGAGACATGTTTTTAATCAGGAGTTGTATGTTTGAAAAGTTCTAGGTTTGCTTGATTGGGGTATGAAAAAAGAGAGGATAAGCAGATTCTGGCTTATCTGTAAGCAGGTCAGCTCACAAACTGCAAGCACAGCTGAGAGCAGAAAAGCTGAGCGAGAACTGCTTCTGCTGAATTGCTTTTACTGAATGCTGCAGTGCTACCACGGGGTTTAAATCCAGTATCTAGACCAGCATCATTGATAGACCATGTTTCAAGCAACTTGGAAGCTCTACTACCTGCTTGTAATATTTTTAAACTTCCTAGTTTGCAAGGAGGGAATAGTCAGCCCCTAGTTGCAAAGAGGGGAAAAAAATCTGTGTTCTTGAAACATCTTGCTGCTTGATAGTCTGAGCAGGAGAAAGTGCTGGTAATTGTCTTGCTTGGACAATTTAGGAAATGAAGTGCTGCATTTTATGGAGTGCATTCCTGTGTATCCCAATAGGAGAATCTGGGTCTCTATTTTTGCATAAAGAGCAGCAGGAAAGGAGTTTGCAAGGCAGCTGCTGTAAATGTTTCTGTTCTGTGTTAAGGTGCTAATAGATTGCTGTGCATTTGTGCTCTCCCTGCTGTTGCTCTAACATTTCCTTGGCTTTTTTTTGGTAATCTTATATAAATACTCCAGGCCAAAGCGAAATGTTTGTTCTCTGTGAATGGGGGAAGCATAATGTGTTTGGGAATAGCTTCACCAGGTGTATGAGAGGGATGAGCGGAGCTGCTGCAGCTTTGGGGGTAGTTCAGCGCTAAGTACTCACAAACAAATAATTTGTGTGCGCGCACAGATCTGTTCAGGTGGTAATGCCGAGGCAGCAGTCCTTACGCGTACGTATGCTGACCTGTATGTTGTGGCTTTGGCTCTGTTCATATAACTTTATCATTCTCTGTTTAAAAATCAATGTCATACTGAGGTAGGAATTCCTTGCTGTGTAGATGCTCTTTTGTGCTTGCTTAGAGACTTCATGGAGGTTTATCTAAGTGCGAAAGCACGAAAGCTGTAGTTTTGTTAAGAAGCTATTAGTTGTCTGCATTGGGCACTAATACTTAGAATTTTTATTTGTAGTCCAATGTCAAAAAGGCTAATATTAAAATCCTGAAAAATTTTGATGAAGCAATAATTGTAGATGCTGCAAGTCTGGATCCAGAATCTTTATATCAACGAACATATGCAGGGTAAGGTTCATTCAGTGTATCTCATTCTTTCCAGTTAAGAGTTTCACCTCCGCTTTGTTTTTGCTGTGTCCTCCTGCATGGAGAGTAGGCATAAATGCAAGATGTTGCAATCTTAGTACATATCTTACTGATGAAATGTATTTACTTTCATCTGTTATGATTTAACACCAGTGCCATAGTGAATGTTTCTCTGACTGGAATGGTAGCCAAAAGAATACTTCCAATTGTTTTTTTTCTCTTTCTCCTAGTTATTATTCCTCTGTGACTCCAAAATACAGCTAAGTAGTTCCTATTTGGGGTTGGAACAGAAAAGAATAAGCTCAGGCACTTTCGATACTATAACGTGCAACTTTGATTTCTCCCTACCTCCATGGCAGAGAAGGGCTGATACTTCATTTCTTCAGCAGAGTGCAAAGCTATTCTTCCGTTTCTTAAGTTGCACTTTGTTATAACGCTCTTCTGTTCTGTGGATCTCATACGGAAATTCTTTGTTTCTATAGCTACCTTGCTTTTCTATTGTATAGCTGTCTCCTGTCCTTTTAGTACCATAAACTTTTTTCTCCCTATGATACGTTGTTATGATAGCACAGAGCACTTGCTAGCACTGCCTGTTGGTATTACATGATTGAGTTATTGAGGTATTTGCCCACACTTTGTTTCTAGAAGAGTTTTTAAGATACACTTCAAATTCAGACATGTGAGAAGAGGGGGAGATTTTCCTCAGTTTGTCAGTTTTAGGTGGAAGATGTAGCAATGGGGAAAATGCCAGTCTTCTGGCATGAGAGTCTTTATTTTGATGGCTTTTTTTATTTTCCTGACTGGTAGCTTTCCATAATGGTGAAGTTCTCTTGGTAACCTGTGCGGTTCTGTCATTCCTCCTCTCTTCAGGAAGATGACGTTTGGACGAGTCAGTGACCTGGGACAGTTTATCAGAGAATCAGAACCAGAGCCTGATGTCAAAAAATCAAAAGGTTTGCTCTCCTCTTTCTCTCAATTTCTGTAAATATCTGCAGAACTGCTCTTTCCTTTACTGCATTCAGGATAAGCAAGATTCTTGACTCTGTCCAGATTTGTTTTAAGCCAAACAAGAGATGCTTAAGGGATTGTCCTGTACTGAGGAAAACCCCATCTTCGGCCCAATTTTCTATCCAAATTGTGCTTTTCTGGTCCAGCTGGACTCCTGGGAGTACGAGCAGCCTGTGGGAGTTGGAGCTGTCGATGGAACCTGGCAGGAATGAAAGCCGCTAGCAGCTGAGCTGATGATCAAACCTTCAAAGAGTTGGTGTCGAGATGAAAAAGAATTCCAGCTCTCCACTTGCTTCCCACCCAGTTTGAGATCTGCTGTTAACGCTGCTTTTCAGCTCTGACAGAGGAGTGGTTCAGGCTCAGCGTCTAATGCACCTTGGCTCCACGTAATCCTTTGTCTTTTGTGCTGCTCTTCTGTGTTCCAGCGGTGCAAAACCCTTCAGAAGGACGGAAAGAATTAGCTTTTGTAAAGGTGTGCCACAGAGTTTGCTAATATACTTTGCCTGCTGTTTTTCATCTCAACTAGGGTCCATGTTTTCACAAGCAATGAAGAAATGGGTTCAAGGAAACACAGATGAGGTGTGTCCTTTTTTACGTTGTCCTTGTGACTTACTTTACAGTGTAGATTAGGAAAATGAAGTATTGAAGTTCTTCATCCTGGCTATTTCTGAGTATCTTTCTGATGCACCACCAAGAGCTGTCAGACTCTGTGTGCTAAATATAATTTGATTGCGTGCATGTGTGAAACCAGTTTGGTTTGTGCCAGTGCTTGCTGGTTTAACTAATATAGTGGTTAAGTGTGTGCTTGCAGTTAAGGGTTTTCTTATTACGATGTTATAAGATGTATCCACAGTTAGGATCGGAGGTGCTGTTGTTCTTTGGTTTTTACTGTGAAGTTACCTCTGTATGTGGATTACAGGCTGCAGTTTTTCACCTTAAGAGGGACTTGAACAAGTCCCTGACAGATTAAGTCTAAAACCCTCACTAATTCTCTCGGAAATTGCATCAAGCCATAAATACTCTCGGCAATTGAAGTTAGTGCTGTATTTAGAAACCAGGTGCATTTCCATCAAAGGAGGGATATGTTTACTACAGGTCAGTTGTGAAGGTTAACTGCATCTCCAAGGCTGAGCATGTGAATTATGCTGAGGGGATTGTGTTTTCATTTTAAGAACTTAAAGCTATGTGTATTTGTGTTTTGGTTTTTTTTCTCTGTGGTAGGCTCAAGAAGAGATGGCTTGGAGGATAGCAAAGATGATAGTCAATGACGTGATGCAGCAGGCGCAGTGTGACCAGCCCTCAGAGAAGGTTACGAAGGTAAGGGGGTGGAAAGGCTGCTTGTCTTGATCTGTCTTAAGGCAGGCTGTGGGAGGAGCAGAGCTCTCGCTTGCCTTCCCACTGCAGCTGAAACCCACGCTGGTAAATGTTCAAGCTAGCGTAGCACGATAGGAAGAATCAAAGGTTGGAAGCGTTTCAGCCTACGTATGATGATGTAGGAATTTCTTAACAGACGCCTGTAGTGGTTCTCCTGTGCAAGCGTTGTCTGTCTTCACTCTGAGTCTTCATAAACTGCCTTATTAGTTAAAAGGGTCATTTGTGTTGCAGGATCAATATTGCAATTCCTTATTTGAGTTCGCACTTGCTGCTTCAAGCTAGTTAATACTGGTGTGTCTGCCTGAAGTGTCAGTAAAAGTCAGCGCCTGGAAAGTTGCCGTGTTGGGCAGCGCTGTGCCTGCGCTTCAGAAGAGACGCAGTAGCCCCGTCCATCGGCTCGTGGGTCAGTGGTTTGTGGTGCTGTTTAGGGACTTCATTGTTGTACGAGTCCACACTTTTCTGTTTAAAGAAAACGGTTCTGATGCACAGCAGTTTGCCGAGTTGATATCTGTACTTCTGGCTTTCAGGCATCTGACCTTTTAAAAATTAACTTGCACTGTTTTTAATTATTGAAGGTAGACATGTGCCAAAGCCCAGTTATTAGACCCGAACAGATGGATCCATAGTTTCACTGTGTGACTGTTTTCTTTTTAATAGAGCAGTTACATTTAAATGACTTGTGTAATGACTACATTTAATAGCTTGGCTGCAAATGATGTAATTCCAGTCTGGCCAGGTGAGAAGGTAACTCAGCACAGTATTTAGAAATATCAAGTGGCTGCAGATGCTCTGGGTTCAATTAGTAAGTATGGCTGCAGTAATCAGAAGGTCGAGTGTGTTGTAGGATTAGTTGTTTGGGGGTTTTTGTTGGGTTTTTTTTCTCTCCCAAACCTAAAAGCATGCCTGGCTTCAACACTTTGAAACACAAAATGTCTTTCTATTGAGCAATTGCCTTGCATGTTTTAGGATAAAATGAACTCTAACCCTGCTTTTCCTTTTCCAGCTATGATTTTAGAAATGCCAGAACAAGAAATCTGGTTTTCCACTTCGAAAATGAGTGAACTTTCCTGTTTGGTGGATTCTTTAACACAGCCAATAACAACAAAGTACTGTTACTCCAGCTGCTGAAATCTCCCTGTTTATAAGGAAGAATGAAAAAGAAGCAATCCTGTACCTCCACTGTAGAGCGTGAAGAAACACTTTCTCCTGTTGTGTGTGGCATTCACAATAACGATGGTTTTTTAAAGAAATGAAGATGCAGTTTACGAGTGTGTCACTGAGGAACTGTGATCAACTTCACAAATACTTGACCCTGTCTCAAAAAGACTTTTAAAAGCAAAATATCTGGAATGGGGGACAAGCCACCTCGGAGGGGAAGGTTTTGCTGTAGTTTCTAGTTCTGCTACTTGTAATTTTTAAACACGTAATTGGAAAGGCTGCGGGGCGTGTCCCCGACATTGGCCATTGCAGAAGTGAACCTGAAATGGTGAATTCATTGGCAGTGAATGACCTAAAAAGTTCTAAGTTTTATTTTTCCTTACTTGAAATAGATGCGTATTCAACTGTAAGATAAATGTATTTTACTTCATAACTACATTAACTCCAAAGGCAGCATAGAATGATGGGGAGCAAGGCTGGGCAGTGTAACTCTTCTTTGTCGAGCTCTTATACCTCCATGCACAAATCCCTGCTTCCAGCACAGCAGACTCGAAAGCTGATCTTGTGCTCGTGCAGCCCTCTTGCCCCCGAGCCACTGCTCCGAACACAGCCCACGTTTGGAGGAGATTGTACCCTGATGACTGCTCCATTTTCTTTCCTCTCCATCCCACGAGCAAGGAAAAAAAAGTAATTGCTGCCGTTCTCCATAGCTTGTTATCCTCCAACCAACATAGTATCTAATTCCAAATGTTTGGTTTACAAATAAAAACAGTTTTTAATGACCTCTCACCTTCTCCCCGACATTGTCAACACTTGCAGCTTGGCAAAACCTTTAGTTTAATTGAAAAAGCCACTGTGTAACACAGCACCTCTATTTATTTTTTTTTCCCAGTGCATTGATTTTGCAGGGTATCAGAAGTACTCAGTGTCTCACTGTTATGTTATCGCTGCATTTCTAGTATACAACACTTCTATTTTGGGTTTTTTACTCTTATGATTGCTTTTTTCCTCAAACTTATACAAAAAAATCACTTTGCAAAGAACTCAAATCATCTCCAATATTCAGAATATTTTGATTGACTAGCAAGTGTTATTCTGTTGCAATATTCGATTGTATAGAGACACACTGTATTGTCTATAAAAAAGCAAAAAAGGCTGTGTATAGGTTTTTTGGTACTATGTACCACCCCGTATTTCTCTCATGCCCAAGTATTCATGTACTTAAAACATACTATATTTAATTGTGTTTTGATTTAAAATATATAAATATTAAAATTTGTGTCAGTTTTCTGTGTTGGTGGGATGTGCCTTTTCACACGTGGGGTTTTTCCTCTTCCCTCCATAGGTGGTGTTTGGATTTGGTGGAGCCCTCATCTCTGGAGTTTTAGGTGTCTGATGGTCCCTGTGGTTGTTACTGGCTTGTGCTGGATGGGACGGAAGATGAGTTTCTCGCTGTGTTAATGGATTTGCGTGGCACATCTGAGCATGTTTTAATGCAGGATCCCCCTCCCAGCATCCTCTGAGCATGTTTTAATGCAGGATCCCCCCCCCGGCCCCCCCTCCAGCCACTTTATATGGGGAATAAACCACCGTGGCAGCTTCAGCCCTTCTCTCCTTTGCCCTCGAGCATTTGAATGCACAACCTGGGCAGCCTCTGGCGTTGGATTAATTTCTTATCGAAATGGGAGATTTGGCGTATATTTTCCTGTTTTTTCTGGGGTTTATTTTAACGCACTGATTAGCACCCGTGTGCTAACGGAACGCGCCCACCGCG